CCAGCATAAGGAAACGAGTACTTGCACAGTAGGTACCGTACCGATCGCAGTAATTTTGGGAATCCAAATGGACCCTATTTAGTCAATAGAAGATTCGGAAGTGCCTTGCAAACACGGTTAGACTTCTAGAAGCTGAGATGAAAATTTAATGAAGGGAGGAGAAAGGGAAAAAGAAAAGAAAAAAAAACAGCTGCTTATTGGGACAGAACAGTGCGGGAGCAATGTGGATGCGAATGCTGAGCGCCGGAACCGCGCGCGCCCTGCCTGAGGCTGTCATTCCAGTCTGAGTTGCAATTGATCGAGTTCACATTGTTACGAACGCTTGTTGATGTACCCATACAAGTAGGTACTCGAGTGCTAACTGCTCTCATCCATTTCCATCTAGTCCAGTGAGAAACGCAAAGTGACGCCTTGTGAGCACTCTCCATACGCCACCGCCGGACCTATCATCCATAGGAGATGTCGATTTATGTATATTTTTATGTGTGATGCCGACATGAAGATTGGTGCAAGAGTGCTCCTTCCGTTGGTGTTGGCAAAGGCCATGTATCATCCAATCGAGGCGTCTTCACGAAATCATTCGTTGGGAATGTGCTGGCTGTTTTGTAGCGGTTGTGAGGTTGTGGTAGCTACCGGTATACCGTATCCATCGATCTAAAGGCAGGGCTTCCACCTCTACGAAATCTTGGTCATTGGTATTACCTATCTTTGAGTATGCTGGTTTCCTAACCGTTTTTGTGCTTGAGAACTTTCTGGTACGGTATGGAACCGCGTTTCTTTTTTCGGTGGAGTTGTCCCCAGTTAGGAGAGGGATGAAGTGTTTCTGAGCCTTTTCCCCCGGGATGTTCGGTGGTGATGCAAAGCCAGAGTGCAAAGGGTAGGAGAGAGGAAGGGAGCTGCATCTCTGATTGCCTCACAAAATGTGGGGATGCAGAGGGCGTACCGTACTCGTACCGTAGGGAATCGACCTCTCTCAGATGGATGCCTTTCTTCCGATCTGTTAACAGGGTCCCCCCCCCATCAGAAGCCTGTGCAGCGCCGCACAGTGACCCGCAGAATCCCGACCTCCCGTCGATACACTTGTGGATGGCGGTGGGTCAGCCATCATCCCTTTGCTGTCACTAGCGGGCTGAACAAAGCGTATTTTTGTGTCCACCGCTGTGCTGCTTTGGTGCCATGGTAAGTAATGCTACCCTGTGCGAATCCCGGTAATGTGGGGGATGTGATGGTGAGGGGGAATGGTAGGGAGAGAGCGTGGGTCGTAGACAGGGCTGTGGTCGACAAGTCACCGTCACTATTCAGTGTAGCGGTGAGGCACTCCCACAGGAGGGTTCGATGGCCAGAGTGTAATATTGCTAGATCCAGAGATTTCTGTAGAAGGGGAAAAGGCAGAGAAATGGCAGGAGACAGTAAGCCTCAAAGCGACAAGAGGAACGGGCTACCGGCATCGGTATTACTCTTACCATGCCTATTGCCTACGCAGTGCCTGTCGCCACCGCCGGTACGATAGGTATACTACGTATGGTCTGTGTGGTGATAGATATCTCTATCGCGTTTGCTACTCAGTATTTCCTTCAATGTGTCCACCCAATCCCGTCAAGGGCTGAATCAGGTGGGGTCCCAAGGGCAAAAGAGTGGGAAGTTGATAGAATTCCAAGGGATGACATCTCGAGGGTGAGGGGTTGTGGCGCAAGTTAAGGGACTATTATACTCGTACTCTTGGGCTCTCTGTTTTATACAAGCACCGGCAGCACAATACAACTCGAGCAGTGTTTTGTCGCAAACCGGGATGGGCAGATAACATCGTGATAGTAGCGTCATTGGGCACAAGATAAGGCATGCATAGTGATATAAAGCGATAAAAAAGCCAAAAAAAACAAAAGAAAACAAAACCTGATATGGAAGCCTTCCCCGTTCAAGAGAATATTTCCAAGTCTATCTTTGTATTCCCATTCTCCTGGGGCATGAAACGGTACCAAACTTACCGTATAGTATTATGTGCACCGTATCACTAGAATAGGAGCTTCTTTTATGCATATTTTCTTTCTTCGAGTGATGAAAAAAAGGGCTTGCGAAGATTCCTTTGACACTTTCCCGACCCCGAGCGGCGAACCAAAACACCGCCACTTGCTGGACGCACTTGTACAGTACGGTACCCCTCTACTCCCCACTCGCCTGGTCGAGGTTTCTTGTGCTGTGAGGGTGTTTTTTTCGAGTGGGTTCGAAAAAGCAACGGTGGAGTACAGTAACGCCCGTACCAACCCAACCGCTTCGCTTTGAGTGCGAGTGGCAGAGGCGTCTGGAGTAGCGCAACACAACGCTCACACATTTTTTGTCCAGCGGTAGGGAAGGAGGAAAAAAAAACATAGCGGTAGAGAGAGAGACGGAAACGCTGAGCGAGCACAGCAGACGGGGAAGGGGATAATAACAGTGTTGGTGCTGGTGCTGCAACTGCCTCAGGCCTCGGGGAGCAGCAGGCAAGGAAGGGCCAGCACTCTCTTAGCGATCACCAAAGAGGCAGGGTTGTCGGTACCGGTTCAGTTCCCACCTCGCTGCGGGAGACTTGAGCCCCCCCCCGTTACCCCCCCACCATCCCTCGTTCTGTGCCCCGAACCTCTTGGTTC